GTTGTGCGTTGTAAAAAAATTTCCCACACCTTGAGCGTAAAAGATATTTGTTTCGTGATTATGTATATTATCCTATACGAATATGTGTGAACTCAACCGCATCGTTTTAATCCGAGAAACGCACAAGCCCACAACCTTTATGGGTTACCAAGGCAAACTCGAAACAACCCGCGCAATGTTAGCAAAACCGGCCGAGTCTCAAATTTCGGCCGGGAAACAGTTCATTTCCTCATATCGAATTCGGTCGGACGACATATGGTCCATGTTGTTTTTTATGCAACGAGTATTGTACCTACTAAACCATTAAACAGGTGACAATTAGTCTCACGGAAATAATAACCACCGCGCGTTAGAATAATGTTGGTAGGAAAAATGTGTTAAATTGAAAAATTAATTTTGGAAAATAATGAAAACATTGTGGATAATAACATATTGACCACAAAAACGCGTATAAGAGAGCTATTGAACGACAAGATAACAGAAATGTGGTTGTGGCGTGTTACAAATGTATTTTGAAACGTTAAAACTTTTACATGTATATATAATACACAAACTCGCGTGACATTTTTCCCTTTTTCGTATTTAACACAAAGTAATATTGTGTAACTGCCATTAACATCCGCTTTGGGACACAGCTCGGTTTCCGTAATCAGTAACAATACCAGTGTTTTGTATCGTGTCGCTTCTCGGCCAAGTAAACTAATATCTTTCGTACTGCTGCATAAAGAGACGAGAATGACACTTAAAATGACACCGGTATTCATTTCGGGGATAGTTTTTCGAGCAACTGAACTATTTTCATGTATTTTAAATACGTGAATGATAGTTTTTTTTTCAAGTGTCTATTATTTCTTAGCCGTCTTGTAATCATAACTAATCAACTCGGATTTGACATAACCAACTCTACTCGTGGAAAATTGTGTTATTATATATAAATGGCAATAAGAGTAGCATTCTCCACGAAAGTCATCTACGATGTGTACTTTTTTATAAACAGCGTTGCGTTTACGTATATAGTAGCACAATAAAACGCTCGAGTGCTTTTCCACTCGTGCCAAGTATTAACAATTTCAACGATATTGGTTTTTCGTGCGGTATACAATAAAGTCGTGTTGTTGAATATATTTTATTATTTTGTATTATTATAATATTGGTTGTTACATGCTAAATCCTTATTTCTTTTCTCGTTGATTTGGATCAAATTAGTTTAAAAGTCGTGTATTAAAGCTGTTAATATTATTCAAGTTTAAAATTCATTAACTGTATCGTCAAAGACTTCTTGGGGTCATTTTCCAGAGGTTTAATAGTCCACGGTCAAAGTTTGATTTTTATTCTACATTGTTCTGTTATTTGACCTCATTGTCATGTTGGACATTTAAACATCGAAATTTTAATTAATTTTCAAAGTGTGTAATTCAATATTTTATTTATGAAGATGATTAAATACTTTTTTCATGTAAAAAATAATTCATTTATTTCGAGTTATTTGACAAATAATTTAAAAAATTGATTTGCTCATTCAATGGTCGTGTCTGTTTTGTTATCATAACATCCAAAAAGTAATTAGAATAAGCACCTTTTTTGGGGAATATGGAATTTTGACAAAATTATTAGCAAACTTCATTTGATCTGCTTGGAAATTTGCCAGAAATTTTGAACAGAGAAAAATAGTTGAAAAGTTATTATGGGTACTTTTTTTTGTTAAAAAGTAACAATATAAAACTATTCTGTTTATATTTACCTCTAAGTTATATATATATTTTTAATAAAAAAAAATTATTAACGAAATATCATACCTGAAGAGCTTAAGCCATAGTCGGATAAAAATATATTTAATTTTAAAAGATTGTACTATATTGGGTTTTGTCAAAAACTAAAGAAATATGCATTAAAATTTAGATATTATTTTATAATTTTTAAAAAATGTTCTCGTGTGAAATAAATAAAATGTTTTTGCCATCAAGGACAGCTGTCCTCGATGTAATTCCAATTTATTAGTGATTCGCGTTTTATTAAAATAATGAACGCTGTTATTGTAATAGTTAGCAAAATAAATTACTACTCGAACGTACTTTATGGTACTTGTAATAAAAAAATTGTTTCTCGTCGATTTACCAACATGAATAATTTTGAATACAAATATTATAACTAATCGATCACTGTATCCGTTCTTCAAAGATTAATATTTGAATACAATCATTATTTGATTTTTATGTTAACTATGATAACCTCCATCAGTATTTTATCTATACCACGAGTACTTAAAATTAACTATTTGGTACATAATACTATTTTGTATTAAAGATTTCATTAAACTATTATGTACATAACGGGACGCTGATATGCACAAAATGATGTTAAAGATGTGTAGTCTTTTAAACTTCTTCGGAGATGAACACATGTTATTAATCAGGTAGCAATTGATATCGGCTTAGTTTAAATCTCGTTGTGTCATTGTATTTAATTATCAGAAAGACTACTCTTCGTAGTGTGCGCCATAATTATATTGTTAATGAAACACTTTTGTTGTTATTATTTGTAACGCTTGAGTTGTATTTTCTTTATGGCCGGTAATATGTTATAGGTATTAAGTATCTACTATCTCAACATTTAGATATGGTTGTAAACAATTAAATGATTTTGGATTCAAATTCTTTACGACTGTAAAATAAGTATATTAATTGGGCATTGTTTTTGTGAGTTTACTACCATTGTGCAGGTAATAAGTATGTTAAATAGTGTGTTCATTTTCTTCACACACAAGTCATAACGTAAAAAGAACATTTACATAGTTTCTTTCAACGATAACTTTTAATTGTATTGGATACTATCAAACGGTAACTCGCACGTTTATTTGGCTTGAACCTTAAGATTACACCAATTTTCTTCTCATAAATCACATCAACTGATTATTATTTGCGTCTTTCTCGACAATTTATGTCAATGCAATGATTGCAGAAATTCTTAAGAAATGAGATTCGACACGAACAAAATGAGTTTAATAATTTCTTTCGTAAGTCAGTATCATTGTAGCACACAAAATATTGAGAGGGTATGCAGTTATTTTACCAATTTCTTCCATAATTGCACCTTAATAAGACAAACATTTGCGTGCGCTGGGTATACTGCATAATTTAATATATTAAAAGAATTAACTTTATACGCATTTACTGTCAATGTTGATGTGTTAATTTTGCAACCTATTATAATATGGTTTTCTATCTATGTTCAGAACATCTAACAAAAAATAAAAAATGATTAAATTAGATTTTGAATGATTTTACTCATGCCATCCTCTAATTTACTCTAATCAATGTTTCGGTAAACATTTTGATGATACTGACCTAGTTAAAAACAAAACAAATGATAATGTTATAGTAATATCTCTTTGATTGTAATAAAGTAGATATTTCAATAAACATAAATTTACATCATTCTGAAGTTACTTAACAATAAATATTAATGACTAAAAATGACAATGTACTATTACTATTAATATCATATACATTATGTTTATTAATGTAAATTTTTTCACTGAAATACGGAAAAAATTTATATACGTTGGAAGGATAAAGAGTTATCAAGTTTTTTTACTAGTAATACAAAAAATTATTTAAATGTATTTGGTTGTTTAGATACAGTTTATAACATGTTATTTTATTTTTATAATATCAAGATAATTTTTTTTTTCAAAAATAACTTGTCTAATTTAATTACAAAAAAAATTCTTCATAACTGGTTCTTATATTTATGTAATAATTTATGTTAATAACAATTTAGAAATTATTAGCGTTTATAATAATTATTTTGCTTTCTATAGATGATAAAATATTTTCAACAAATAAATAAACTTTTATTACGTTTTTTCAAGTTATCTTACCATAAAAAATAAATATCATGGCTATTAATGGCCCGACTGGAATTGACCACTTGTTATTTTTAACTAATGTATTGGTACGTATATTTATTGAAGTTTAATGGCTTCTCGAAAAAAAATTATTTCATGCGTTGACGAAATGCTGTTTATGGATTGATGATGCCCTACAGAGTAAAAATTTTTAATTTACATAAACAATCCTTGAAACAGTATCATTTATAAGTTGTTAAAATATTAAAAATTTTTCGATAAATTACACAGGTTATAACAAATTTGAGTTTATATTTAAATATTTGAATATATATTAATGAATTAAATGCTCTAAAATATTAAAGATTTTTTTACTAAATTATATATTTTTTATTTAAAATTGTTTTGTTTCATATATGTCTCATGACGTACATTAATATATAAGCTTGAATATTTCAGTAAATTTTTTTTTTTTTAATTTTTCAAAGAAAAAATTGATTTGTTATTATAGTTTGATAGTTTGATATGTAGTTTCTGTAGTATACTAATATATACTTTTACTTAAGCGTGAAAATTGCAGCCTTAAAATTTCTAACATTCAAAACGCAGTTTGTGAGAGCTAAAACACGTATTAGTGCGCTAAAGTATCTTTTTAATCAAGTGTCCAAAAGTGCTCACGACATGGTCCCTTTTTCGTTTCTTGGCTTTCTCTTTTATTTCAAATACCAATTGATAAATGTACGATATTAAATGCCTTTCACTGCAACAGTAGTTATTTAATACGATGCAGTTGTTTAATTTTTGACCGTTTGTACAAATCAAATGTTCAAGCTATGTTATCTTTTAAAAATAAACGGTTAATTATTAACTTTAAATAAATAATCTGGTTGTTGTTTTGCCCTTTTTTATATTGATACCACACAATGACAATATAAATTATGTTTATTAGTTTTATTTTTATGATCAAATGTTTTTATTGATTACTATATAGACATAAATTTATCAACTTGATTTGATTAATTACATGTCGGTCGGTGGACATTAAAAAAATCTTTAATTCAATCCACGTTTAAATCATATTGCCACCTTTGTAGAGCAATAGCATACTAATTGAAGATGTAAATCTAATTAACCTTGAACATGTTCTGCGCAGGTGTTTATGATATGGTAATAATTAAAACAGAAAACTGAGTAACATCGAGGACCATCAAAAGGTCATGTGTACGACCAGTGGCGGTGACGCCAATAATCAAAATACTATGCAAGAAAACTCTGTAACCACTGTGTACAACGGTGACCAAACCATGAACGATCATCTCAGGTTATCACCTTCTACGTCCTCCAATGGTGATAGTGGTTTAGACAACTCAAATACCTCATCGTCCGCTGGTGACGCAAAACTTATCATAGATGTACCAGACTTTTCCAAAGGTAATATTTTTAATTAATTTTATTCCTTTTATTTAATAAACATTTTATTCTAATTATTAAATAAGATTTGGAATCACCTCGTACGGGTATTGATAACCCAAGCTTTGAGACTGACAAGTCCGATTTACCAAAACCTCATACTAATGGAGTTAATGGACATAATGGTACCGTTCAACAAGAGAACGGAAAATTAGATAAAGAAAAAATGGCTGAAGCCGTAAATTTAGAACTGATTAATATGAAACCGTTTGGTAAAAATATGAACGGCAATGGCATTAGCGTCCCCTCTAAAAAGAAAAAAGAGACTGCAGTTAACATGAATGATTCTTACGATGACTATTTCATTCCCGTCAACGAGCATAAAAAATACATAAGGTAGGTTTTCATGCGAACTTTTATTTAATTTAATATTTATATATTTATTTTTACATTTTAGGGGTGGAGAAAAATTATATGTAACCAAAGATAAGAGAGACCTTAATCAATCTAAAAAACCATTTATTTGTTGGGTTTTTGGATTAATTTTATTGGCCGCAGCAGTCATTGTAGCAATTTTAGCTTCAAGTAAGATAAATATAATATACTTACAAAATAATTTTTTAATTTAAGTTGAATATTTTTTATTAAACTTAAATTAAAAAATAAAAAAAATTGCTAAGTATTCATTTTTATCCAAAACAACACAAGTATTTTATAATAAATGAAAAAAAAATTTCGATTATAATAAAAATTTATTGTTTAATACATTTTTGTATTATTAAAAAATTCTAAACAAATTTAATTTGTTTTTATATCCCTTTGGAGTTATTACGTATATAATATTTTTTAAATAGATAATCAATCAAATACAGTTATTAGAATAATAAGAATTAATTTATAAGCTTTTTAAAATATATTTTATCAAAAATATTAACAGCTGGAGTTATCTTTAACAACGAAACTGCTGTGGAAAGTCGCAATTTCCCTGACAACGAAAGAATTGCTGGAATTGGAAATCATCCCATTCAATTTTCTTCAGTTAGTCCACCACCTAATTCCAATGGCCATATTCCTTTTAGTCCTCCAACCACAGATATGTCTACATTGTACGTTCCAAGAGCTATACAAGGTGTAATTGCCATAGATAATATGGATTTTACTCCTAGTTTAGCTAATAAATCTTCACCAGAATTTAAAACATTAGCTAGTTCAATAGAAAGTGAGGTACTTATTTTATTTTATAATTTAAAATTAAAATTGAAAATTATTTTTGTATGCATTGCAATTTTAATTTTAACATTTTTTAGCTTAAAAGAGCTTTGTTTGAAAAAGAAATTTTTAATACAGATTCTGATGCTATTCATGTAAAAGTTATTGAATTTGCGTAAGTAAATTTAAGTTTTCACCATGTGCTAATTAAATTAAAAAAATATTATTTTAGACGTGGAAGTGTAGTAGCAATATACAGAATAGGATGGGAAAATAACGATGGTGATATGCCTGACCCTATCACTGTTGAATCACTAAAAGATCGTTTAGATAGCCACTTACGAGAAAGTGATGGATTTTTGTACAACTATAGAATACCTGTACATAGATTACATTCAGAACGTGAGTATAATCTTAAATTTGAGTTATTTACTAATACTATTAAACTATATATCTATGAACACTTTACAATAAAAATTAAGTTGTTATCACTAAAATGTTAAAAATAATTATTAAAAACCAATTACTTAATATTGAGTTATTTATTTATACAATATATATGTTTAAATGGTCTCACAGATGTTACGGATAGATGCAAAACTGATAACGCAAAATGTTCTCATTACTGTACATATGATTATTTGAAATTAGATTTTGTATGTTCTTGTCCTTCTGAACTTATCTTAGCTGAAAATTTAAGGGATTGTAGAAGAAAAAGTAAGTTCAATTTTAAAATAAATTTTGTTTTATTTTTAATTTTGACGAAATTGATAAGGTGCAACTGATTTTGTCGGTGATATGGATGATGTTAATTTATCCGATACAAAAGTTGATGTAAGTTCTGACCAAGACAATCATTCTAGTTCTGAACCAAAACCAGAGCCTAAATCTGAACCTGAACCTGAAACAAAATCAGAGCCAGAACCTGAAACAAAATCAGAACCAGAATCTAATGATGAGCATAAACTAGAAGAAGAACTTCATTCATTACCAGAAGTGAATGCTGAACCTGAACCAAGTGCTACCCCAGAAACGAAAGCAGAACCTGAACCCAGTTCTTTATCAGAAGTAAATGCTGAACCTGAACCCGAAACAAAATCAGAACCAGAACCTAATGTTGAGCAAAATCTTGAAGAAGAACCTTATTCATCACCAGAAGTGAATGCTGAACCTGAACCAAGTTCTACCACAGAAACGAAACCAGAACCAGAACCAAGTTCTTCACCAGAAGTGAATGCTGAACCTGAACCAAGTTCTACCCCAGAAACAAAAGCAGAACCAGAACCCAGTTCTATCCCAGAAACGAAAGCAGAACCAGAACCCAGTTCTTCACTAGAAGTGAATGCTGAACCTGAACCAAGTTCTACCCCAGAAACAAAAGCAGAACCAGAACCCAGTTCTTCACCAGAAGTGAATGCTGAACCTGAACCAAGTTCTACCCCAGAAACAAAAGCAGAACCAGAACCCAGTTCTTCACCAGAAGTGAATGCTGAACCTGAACCAGGTTCTACCCCAGAAACAAAAACAGAACCAGAACCCAGTTCTTCACCAGAAGTGAATGCTGGACCAGAACGAACTAGTTCTTCGTCTGATGTGAAAATTGAACCTGAACCAGCGCCTAAAGCGAATATAGAACCCAACTCTAACGCAGAACCAGAACCTAATTCTGAGCCTGAAACAAGTTCAAAACCAGAGACAAGCTTGACGCAAGAAATCGAAAAAAAACCAGAACCAAATTCGTCATCATATGTTAAAGTCGAACCAGAGCCTAGTTCTACTTCAGAATCAAAAGCAGAGCCAGAACTTAGTTCTTTATCTGAAGTAAATGCTGAACCTGTACCAAGTATTACATCTACTTTCGTTTCAAGTTCAATTTCAGATGTGAAAATTCAACAAACACCAAATAAAGTCTCAGAAAATTTTGAATCACTATCAGACGTTGATATAAGCTCAGACAATAATCCTAGCGATGATAATGATAAATCTACTTTAAAGAATCCACAAGTATCAGATATTGGTTCATTTGATAGAGAAGGCAAAGCTCATTCGAATAATGAATTTCACCATGAAATTAAACCCGAGATCACTTATACCATATCTACGGAATCTGAATTAGAAACTAAAACAGAATCAATGAATAATGAAAATAACAAAAACAATGAATCTAAATGGCCATCTTCTGAAGAATCTTTATCGCATGAAAGCGAAGAAACGACTACAATATCTTCAATTACTGACAACTGGTTAACCAGTTCTCAATCTAGTATTTTAAGTCTTCCAAAGCTACCGCAAGACTTAGAACTTTCAGAAAGAGAAAATGAGCCAACCAAAGAAGAAATTAAATCAGAATCAGAAATTGGTAAAAACTTACAAGAAGAATCGGTCACAAAATTGGGTGAAATAAATGCTTCTACAACTATAATTGACACAGAGTTATCAAGTATACCTTCTGAAAAAATTCAACCTCTTTCAATTGATAAAAATACTTCTAATGATCAAACAGTGCCCGAAAATGTAAATATTAATATGTCCTTACAAAGTACTATGGATAATGAAGACAATTCCGCTGAAGAAATAAAAGATCAAAATTTAGATGATTCATTAATGCAAAAGTCAGATTCAAAAAAAAAAGATAAGAAGACATCTAAAAATCCAGAGTTTTATACATCTGAAAATGGTTTTATGAAAAGAAATAAAACAAAAACTGAAAAAGAAAATAAAAAGGCCAAAATCGATTATATGCTTGAAATGATGTCAAAGTCTGGAAAATGTTCTGAAGGACAATTGCAGTGTACAAATGGTACTACTCTCGATGGATCTTATTGTATAAGCGAGTCTTTAAAATGCGATTCTAACAATGATTGCTCAGACTATTCTGACGAGGAAGATTGTCTCGAAAACTATTGTTTCCAAAATTTTCAAGTAAAATCATTATTTTGTTAATATTTTTAATCGTGTATATTAAATATTTTTATTTTAAAGTGCAAAAGTGGAGAGTGCTTAAAAAGAAGTTTGGTCTGTGATGGTATAAATGATTGTGAAGATGGAAGCGACGAAGAGACATGTGGTTTGTTTTTTTTCAAATTAATTCAATGAATCTGTATTCTTAATTTTTTTCAACTGATAAATTTTATAACTATTATAGAAACATGGAAATGTAGAGAAGGAGAAAATCAATGTACTGGAGGTCAATGTTTACCTAAATCGTATTTCTGTGATGGAAAGTCACATTGTAATGATCACTCTGATGAACTAGACTGCAATAGTAATGATCTAATTAGTTACACTTATATTAATTTAAGTTTAAACTAACATGTGAAATATTTTCAGACACATGTAATGGTTATCAATGCTCAAATGGTTATTGTATTAAAGAAGAATTACGGTGCAACGGAGTGAGTGAGTGTCCAAATGGGGAGGATGAACAAATGTGTGGTAGGTGATTTTTAAATTTAATTGAATATTCTTAAAAATCTGTGCTGCTTCGTATATTTTATTTTATTTTAGTTATTTTTCAAATAAAACAATTTTTTGGATGTTTTGTTTTAGTGTGTTTTGCTGATCAATTTAAATGTAATTCAGGATCGAATTGTATTTCAAAAACTCAAGTATGTGATGGCATAGCTCAGTGCTCTGATCAAAGTGATGAATGGCAATGTATTCAGTTAGATGAATCAAAACTGATGGCTAAGTAAGTGTTTTTAACGTGTTAACAATCTCTTCAATTGTGGAAGTATAAAATATATCTAATTTATAGAAAAGAAAGCGAAATTGCTTTAGAAGTGTGCAACACGAATTGGTCAAATGAATGGAGCGATTTTGTTTGTCATAGCTTAGGATTCTCCGAATCTAAACAGATAAATAGTCAAAATAAACCATCTGAAACTCTTAGTTTACGTTTAAAATTAAAAGACGGCATTTCCTTAGATTCTACCAAAAAACTTACTGATTTCCTAGAACAAACTGAGACACCATGTGACGGTATTGTCGAAATCAAATGTTCTACTAAACATCGTAAGTAAAATATATTATTTATTTTATTAACGTATACTAGATAATTTATGTATTTTTTGTATAGTTTGTGGTGATTTTGGCGGTAAAGATCCCCATTCTATGGAAATATGGCCATCCGTCACTTATTTGCATAATATCAAAAATCATAAAGCATGTACAGCTAGCTTAGTTAAAAGAGATTGGTTATTATCATCTTATAGTTGTTTGCATTCTATGTAAGTATAATTATTTGATTTATGTGAATTTTTTTCAATAATATTAATTATTTATTTTCAGTGATCAATCATTATCGGTGGACCAATGGGAAGCGGTTGCCAGTAAAACACGTTTATCTAGTGATTCAAATACGATTAAGAGGGCTGTGGTGAATATTGTAAGCCACCCTGGTGTAAAATTCGAGAAATTGCGATTCTTAAACGATACTGTGTTAGTTAAACTGGTTAGTCCATATAATCTAAGTGATGAAGTAAACACTGTTTGTCTACCTGATAAAATGGCCGATGATAAACAACCATGTGTCACAGCTAGCTGGGCTTACGAATCTCCGGGTGGTTAGTATTTAACTAAAATCTCATTAAAGACATAGTAATAATATATATTTAATTTTTTTTTATCTAGTATTCAAACAATTTTCGAGGAATTTAGTTGAACCCCTGATGTCTTCTTCTGTATGTAATACATCAAAATATTTCAATGGCTTTTTGACAGATCGAGAAATTTGTGTTGACTCTAAGGAAACAGAATCTACTCATGTAAGTTTATTTTATATAAAGATTGAACTATGTTCAAAATACTTTTTTCCAAATCCATATATTTTCAGTGTGTCTATTTTAAGTGTTATAAACAAAACTCAAAATAATGACGTAAATGTACTTAATTAAATGATATAAAGTTTTAACAAAATCATTTTTTTTTATTCAACTACAATTTTCATATTTCAAAACTATGCTTATCACATGCTCATTTAATTATTTTTGTATCTGAACATGTCAATCAAATAATCGTTCAATTACTTTCATAAATACAATGACATTGTTATTAATTATTTGTGAATACATCTTCGAAGATGACCATTTATCCTTTAGATTCGTTTCTCATAATCCACTCAATTATTTAAGTATAAATTTCAGGAATATATATATTTTTTTAGTTTATATATATTTCTCGGTTTTTTAGTTAAGCAATTTTTTTTTTCATCTCTTATAGCCTCGGAAATTATAACAATTTAAAAATATACTGGGGTAGAATATGACTATTTATATCATCCGACAATGTTCAGCAGTACTCCTCCCGTTAAGGTAAAAGACTGTTAGTAACTTCCAAAGTACTGGTTCAAAAGTTGTTACCGACCTGTAATTTTTTTTTCAATACGAATTTATTTTGTGATTAATTAGGTTGGTTATAATAAAAACATCAAATTTTAAAGATCTAAAGTTTAAGCGCCTGAAGATCTTAAATGACTTAAATTAGCCTATATAGTTTTTTAAAAGAAATTTGATTATTAATTTATAAACAATATTAATTTATTAAAAATATTTAATTTTTACGTTAAATTTTATTAATTGATAGTTTTTTTATGTTCGCATTAAATTAAAAACTGTTGTTCTTGATGAATATTAACGCTTATAAAAATTAGTATATTAATAAATATATTTTTTCATTTTATAGATGGAAATTGGTGGTCCATTAATGTGTTTGGCTGAAAATGGTTTATGGCAATTACAAGGAACTCTTAGTTACAATGATAATCGCGGTCGATTGTCAAAACCATTAATTTATAATACAATTTTTGATTCTGTTCAATGGATTGAATATACAATAATGTCGGGAAAAGCTTAATAATGATTTATTCACTGTTAAAAAGCTTTGTGTAATCCAAGAAATTTTTGTTGTTATACATAGCTTAAAATATTTTGAACATAACGGCTTCCTTATAATCATAATATTGTTTTATCATAAATTAACTGTTAACTTTTTTAGATGCATATTTAGTTATTACTCAATATGCTATGTCTTATTTTGTATGAGGTCATTATTGTAGTTGCATAATATTTTTAGTCGTTAAATAGAAGTATTTTAACATAAAAATAGCAAGTTGCCATATGCATTCAAAAAATGTTTATGAATTTTTAAAAATATTTTATCAATTTCTGTATAATACTCCGTCCAACCCTAACTATTATTGTATTATTATTATTATTATTATTATATTTTATTTCTACGAACATGTTCCTTCGGCCAACCATTGTCGATTTTGTGTCTCGTGTGTATCATATTATTAACACGATTGATAATAATCAATTTTTTATTAAAAAAGAAAAATTGTTTTATCTGTACATTATTTATGCCACGATTTTACACAACTCGCGCGGTACCTTTGCATGGTCACGCCGATGAAATCGCTCGTGAATTCTAAAATTTTATCGTTTTGTTATAATATGTACTTAATTATTATTATTAACATTTTCTTTTAGTTGTGCTCAAGAATATTATTATTATTATTATTGCTACGATACGTGATTTATGTGATTTGTTTTAAGGTTTGATGTATCAAAATTTAGTTTTATATGAATCATTTATAAAATAAAAGTTATGTCGTTTTACCGTTGTATTATATACTTAATGCGTAAATGCAAGTAATAAAATATGTCCAGTATATAAATAGTATGTTGTTATTTTTTATAAGATTACCTATCTAGAATAAAACATATATGAATTATGTTTGTGTTTATTAATCAAAGAGATTATTCACACTAAAAATACAGAAAATCGTCACTGATTATTATACAGTAAACTGTTGAGTATCAAATTTGAAAAAAACATTTTTCTCAAATGAGCTCGGGACAAAAATTTAGGTTCAAATACTGTAGTAATTTTTTTATAATTTGAACTGTGTTTTTATATGAATAATTTATATGTAGTAAAATAAAAGTTTCCTTGCGTAGTTTGACTTGTGCAGGCTCGTTGTTTTATGGAAAGTTTTAAAATTAAAATTAGTATTAATTATAACAGGCTCTATTTGAAGATGACCAAAAGAGCATAACTTCTAAAGACATTTAAAGACATTCTAAAAATTACAAATATTTACGATTTTTCAAGTTAGATGTTGTGTCAAGTAGGGTAGTTGTAAATTTTTAGGAGTAAAAATATTTTATTATTCATAAACATTTATTGTGAAGTTCACATTTAATTTAAAAATTTTAATTATTATTATTCTTAATATTTTCAATAAAAAATAAAAAATATATAAAATTTTATATCATATTATGTAAAATTTTTTTTAGACCATTTGTACACATGAATAAGTACACTAATAAACGGTATGAATAATAGTTAAACTTGTTGATGATAAAATTTAACATAAGTAGAATTAAAAACTTGTTGAACGATATTAAATAATATTGTCATGTTTGTTACTTTTGTGCTTACTAATTTTTCCATTTCTATAATATTTCTTAATGCTAAAAAATGTTGATACTTTTAAATTGTAAAATTAAATATCTTAAGGTTTATTTCTGTATAATTTTAATGGAATTAAGCCATTAAGTGTTAAGTGTATGAATTAATAAAAATCAATTACAATGTTGTCTAAACTATCAAATATGTCAAAATCTGATTTAAAAAAAATAAATTTCGTTACATCATGATTCAGGTAACAAATTATTCCAATAATTATAAAAATTCAAAGGTTCACAAAAAAATACATTATATATTATCGTGTATAATATTTTTATTTCAGAACAGTTATTCTTACTAAAAATGACACTTTTAACTAATTTTTTATGTGCTTTTTTAAATTCTGAAACTAAAATATTTTTTCCATTAACATCTGTGTAATAATTATTCTTTACTCCATCATAAGTTCTTAACATTAATTTACCAAAAACATTAATTAAATATAAATATAAATTTAATAGTCCTTGAGATATGCTATCATCGTAATTATATATGTTGAAATATTCCAAAAAATAAAAAACTGAGTCTTCCATAGATCTTAAGTTTTCTTAATACTGTTTCTTAAGAAAACGGTTCACTAAAAATTTTTTTATCAAAATAGATACCTTTATATAATAAAGCTTATATTTGTTAAATTAGTTACTAATCTGCTAATTATCACTTAAAACAAAGTCACTTCAAGAAAAACTTTGAAAAAAATTTAATTATCATTTTTTAATATTATTAAACTGAAGAAAATGTTAGAAAAAAATATTTATCTAATAGTTTTACCAGTACTTTCAAAAAAAGAATTTTTATCATAAACTTTTTTTACATTTATCTGAATTAATGTTTAAACAATTAAATATAAATTCTTACATGTGTTTCCTTGTAAAAAATAGTTATAACTTTAGACGTGAAACAATAACCTAATATTACTGCTTACTTATACTGTTAAATAAAGTTTACAGCAGCGTATATTTTAACATTCTAAGTGAGTGACATTAGTTTTACCTAATAGTATATTAATATGGCTTGTGCCGAGGTGATTAATAGTTGTACCTCGTAAAATTTAAAAATAAAAATAATGTTGAGAACCTATTTTTGGCTTGAGCTTTGTAAATTTGTTTGTTAATTCAAATTTTTAATTTCGACAAAAGAATCAAAGAAAATAATATTTTTTTTTTATCCATTGCCATTAATCCTGGTAAAATCTGTTTTTGGTGTAAAAAATTATAGTTACTGTAAACCAAAAAAGTATAAAATAGTATTGAAATTTCCCGACTTCAAAATTGTAAATATATGGGATTTTCACATTTTTGGGAAAGGAGGGGAAATTTTTTAATTGAAGGGAAACGTCTTAAATTAAATTAAACATGTGATCTTCTTGGCGATTCGTTAAGAAAAATTGGTCCAATGGTAACAAAGTATTTATGGTGACAGTTACACTAAAAAAACTTTATAGTTTAATTAATACCTTCTCAGACAATGGCGAATTTAGTGGATTATTTTACTTATAAGTAAAAAAACGTCTTTTAGGTCAAAAACTCAATTAAGTTTTCGTCTCAAAAAAAATTTCTTAGCACCTCATAAAAAAATTCTAAATTCTCTTCTCAGCTTTTTAGAAAAGCTAAAATTAATAGTTAAAATATTATACATAGTATACGGTAATCATTTGTTTTGTGATTCAAAAGAATATTCACTCCCAAATTATATCAACTTACTTGGTTAATTAATTAAATTACAATTAAGTAATCTTTTAATAGTAGAATATTTATAACAGTGGGATAAAAATCGTTCAGTACAATATTTCAGTTGAAAACTTTAGATGTCTATTTGTATTGGACCATTGCATCTTCGAGGGCAATGAACGAGAACGTAGTTTGCTACAGTGGGTCAGAGTTAGTCGATACAATGCACGGAAGCTTTTGTGCTAAATAAATTTATATGTATATACATAAAGTATACGGTTGTTGTGTACAACAGTATTTGATAATGACGTCATAGGCCGAAGCATAATGACGTCATTGGGTGGCATAATAGATTAATCCCTTTTTTGTTATTCCCCTCTACCGGGATCCTTTCTCGCTTACATTACGTGTCGATGAACTCTATGGTATTTCTTTATACACGTTGTGTGCATTAAATCACTACTCGTACAAATTTTATTTATCTGATGACTCTGAATGGTCCATTTGAGGTTCAGGTGACTCTAACCGATTACACTCAGTTCTAACATCAGTATATTTAATAATTGTATCGTATTACTAGATCGATGTAAGTACACTATCTGGTACCAATTCGTCTTGGGTAAAATTAAAAAAAATCCAATAAAACGTTTAAAATTACATAAATTCAGATTTAGTGTTTGGTTTTCTGAATTTAATCTTCAATGCACGAATAACTTTCAAATATAGTTTATTTTATGTGTCTGTAGAGTTCTATGTAATAGAAAAATTATACGTTCTGTAAAATGATTTAATATTTTTCTTTTAAATATCCTTTGTAGCAGTAATAAAAGTACCTATTACACGATTAGACTATAAACACATTAAATGTGTTGAGTATTGAAATATATTGTCAATGTAATATACAGTAAAATTTAACATAAATTTTCAATAATTTATATCTTAAAGTATCTATTCAAAAACATAATGATCAAATTATACAAGAAACTATGAATGTTGTCTTGTTTTTTATCAAGTAAGTTCTCGAATATTTTTTATACAATTTCATTTTGATATAAAATAGGAAAGGTATTTGTTTTACGACATTTTTTTTCTTACGTATAGCTGAAAACCTATTGAATGGTTTCTATGATCCGATTAGTTTGAAAATCTTCAGGACAAATATATAAAAAAGTTTTTCAGATTTTACGGGCACAATTTTTAAAGGAAATACTGAAGACATGTATTTTATTTATATCATGTATACTAAATAGAACTATTTAAAAATTTTGATAAATATTTTAGTAACCAAGTAAAATAATGTAACTATTTTTATTTAAAATATTATACTCGATTATAATTTTGTACTAACTAAAATAAATTTCCACTTGTAATATTTATCATTATAATTCCAAGCTACTCGAGGATAAAATATTTAGTTAAAAAATGAGAAAGGTATACTAATAATACTCTAGATAAAATTTAAAAGTTTTTTTTTTATTAATTAATTAGCCACTTTCATTAATAAACATAAATTGTATAAGAATTTTTCATTTTTAATTTCTGAATAATTTTACTTTTACTTTTTACGTCGAAATTCTCTGTTTAATTTATATAAAGAAATTTAAAAGTGTCACGGTCAAACAAACTTATGAGATTAGCATATAAAAAAATAATAATTTTTACTATATGCCTAAATAAAATGCAAAAAATATATAGATTCATATATAGTAAAGTTTTTACATATTTACTATACGATTTCTTCCAAATTAATTGTCTTAAAAATAAAATTAAATAAAAAAATGATCTTTACTTAAAAAGATTTGTGTAATGAAAAACCTCGATATTGCAAACATAACTGACTCCATTACTAATCTTTGTATTGACTCCAGAAATCCATCGCGATAAAAGTTTACTTATACTATTAGAATGTTTTTTGAACTTTAATAGAAGTAATTGGAATAATTAAAACCCTCTACTTAAATAAACCATTTCTTTCAATCAAAGACGGCATTACTTAAATAATAAATACTTTTAAAATGTCAAAATTTTCGTAAACTTGTACTAAATTTTAGATTATTATCTCTCATGGGTATCAAAAGATAAAAATATATATTTTCTAATTTTTTTTTAAAGTTCTACTCTGAAAGTTTTATTTAATACTAGATAATGAACAAATTTGCTGATAAAAGTTAGTATTTTTCTTTTCAGTAGAATAATAAAAAGAAATATTTTTAATTTGAAGTATAATTTATTTTTACATAATTGTTCACTTACTGATTTTCTAGGTGATTTGGTTTTTGCCAGTACAATTCGTACGGATCGATATTTATTATTTTACATTTCAATTCTTGGCCCAAATAAATGTTCATATTTTATACTAGTTTTTTAAATATAAGGTAAAATTATGAAAACAAAATAAAAAGAAATGATTTAATCCATGCAAGATCAGGATTAACAACATAAATTCATGAATATGTACATTTCTAGCAGTTTTCATTAAATGAAATTTATTTGTTTAATCTAATAGGAATTATTCAGTCATTTTTCTTTATAATCAAATTATTTTATGGAAAGTGCAATAATACAGTTTTAAAATTAAAACTTAACTCTTTCCATAAGTAAAATATTTAATTACTTTTATAAATAAATGTTGTACTACTTCATCACTTAAGATTAATTTTAAAATAATGATTACTCACTAGAACGAAAGCTTTACACGTACTCAATGAAATGTTGTATCAAAATCAACAAATTCTATCATGCCTTCCGCAAAATTTTCTCATATGTTAATAATCATAATTTTTTTACTATAATTCATTTATGTCTCTGTAAAATAAAATTAGAAATATCACACAAATTAGCTTTTTACCTATTAAATGGTTATGTAAGTAGTAATTTATGTAAATTACAACTCAACGCAAGTTTTAAATTATTGCCTTTCAGATTTTTAATTTAAGTTCAAATTTTATTTATAAAATTTATAAAATAAAATTATTTTACTTATAAGTAAAATAATTTTGTAATCAAAGTATAAAGAAATTACAAATTGGGTTATTTAACTTTAAACTAGATTAAATTTATTCAAAGTGAATAATAAATTATTATAATTTAAAATCTAAATGTCATAATTTTTGTAAAAGTAGACTGAAAGTACAGTGAGATAACGACGTCAGTACACCATTTAACAGTAATCGTGTGTGGTAATAATATGCAGTTATCATTTTTCAAAATTAAACAGTTTTTTAATAATTGTCATTGTGAGAAAGAGACTTCTTTTATCTAAAATAATTGATAGGATTGTTTTTCGAATACATAAAAGTGTTGCATTATATATCCAATGATCTAAGTGTAATCGATCAAATGTGTTTATAGTTATAAATGGAAAAATAAAAATAAAATTGGTTTAGGCAAAGTGAGTAATTACAATTGGTCAGGTTAAAACTGCTATTTAAGCTTATAACGAATGACTGTGTCTATTAATAAGTTTGATCAAACAATTCTTAGTCTAAGATAATTAAAAAAAAGTCAAATAACAACTATTATAATTTGAGGATGTAAGTTTCAATAATTAAACGTCAAATTTTGTTATCACTAACTGGAAAAATGATTTTTTGCATTATTAAAAAAAAATATTATTGTAGAAAAGTGTATCCAATAAAATATATAAAAATCCAACATTTTTATTCTCAATATCGTTAAAGATTTTATTGTGTGTATTTTATTGTTTTAAAATCGATGGATATTAACAGTTAAACTCGTTCAAACACATATATGTTTACCTTTATAACATGTAATCATTTTATCTTTTTTCTATAGTTAGACCCACTCGCTAGTAAATAATAGACATACAGCCGTTGACGTTAGATGAAATCGTTTTTCTTTTATCTTATACATTTCTTTTATCATATTGTAAGCGATATTTACTAGCATGTGATTTATTAGGCTAACATAGAGAATTAACTCGTGTTAAATATTTTTCTTTATTCTGCACTTTTGTAGGAACACATTGTTATAGTGGTGAAAATTGTGCTTGACAAACTATGACTTAAATGTTTAACAGTAGCCGAAAAAGTTGCTCCTTTGCTCGTATCACAGTCATCACATACATTGTAAGCACAGCATGCGCCAAATCGCGTGAACAGCGCGGGCGCACCTCAACTGTCGTGGCCTGTGGCTACACGCCGTTTAGTATACGGCCGGTCATAGTATAGTATCACGACCGTTGACAGTTCGCTACCGATTATGTTTCCAATTAAACGTTTATCATTTATCCATCGTTGAATTTCGATGCAGGCGGACCACACCAAAGTTTACACCTACTTGGCCGTGTAAACAATTGCAGGTAATGATCTATACTAAGTTGTACTTTTTTTTTTGTTTTTATTTTTAATTACTTCATAAGAAAATATTTACGGAATAGAATGAAATAACATTACAATCCTTACAGAAAATTAAATACATGCTTGTCATTGAAAGAATAAAATCATAATTACATTAAAAATAACAAATAATTTTTTTATTAAAAATTAACGATTTTACTTGTAAACTGATTTTTATATTATAAAATAACAAACAATATTAATGTATAAAACCTTCTATCGGCGGTTTAAAAAACAACAACCAAACAATGAAAATATGTAAAATTTAAATAAATTAAAGAAAAACAACAAAGAAATGTTTTTAATTAAGTAAAAATGTATTAAAATTTTAAATTGTTTAATTCGAATGTTGTCTAAATTAAATTTTTTTTTTTTAATAATATTTTGTAAAGTAAATAATTACAAGTGCAGGCCCAGGTGGCAATGAGTTCATGACGTCCGGCTCACGACCAATGCGTGTCTATATAGAAAAATAACCTTATCTTAAAGTCTTAACTGGTAACTGGTAAAATAACTTTAATAAGCTCAAAGCTATATTATTGTTACTAATTTTTTAACGTCTGTATTTTTTTTTATTCGTGTTATGGTAAAAAATATTGTTTTATAAAAAAATAAAATTTTTATGAAGAAACTTTTTTTGAGGACCGTTAGAACATTTGAGGCCAGAGTATCAAATAAATATATTCTAGGCTTGTATACATACAATATTACAGTGTATAAAACCGATACAAATTCAGAAAATATCAAATAAATAATATAAAAAATATATTATTATGTAGAAATTTTCATGAATAATTTGTTTGGCCCATGACTTTTAACATCTTATGGCCTAGGAATGATAAACCGTTAATAGTACTCACTAGACACCGCCGTAATCCATATCTGTAAGCCACACCAACCTTCTAAACCTTTTTTTTTTACTTTTTCAGTTTTAATTAAAATATCATAAGTTTAAAAAAATATAACTAGTATAATCCTTTTATTTATAGTTAACAATGTTGTATATAGTATTAAAGTAGGTATGAAACACGCAATGATAGTACTACAAAATTAATATAACTTTGAAAATGTCTGCGTTTGTTTCTTAAATAAAAATATTTTCTATTCAACAAGCTCATGCTACAGTAATTATATAGTATATTACTATAGTATTTTAATATTTATTTTGTAATGGTTTGATTTCATAAACTAGATTTCGTTGCGTGAACAATTAAATACTGTATACTTGAATATTATTTAAGTATAATATTGTTCAAATAGCTAATACTATGCTTACTATTGTGAGATATGTTTAACTCCATGAAATTGAAATTCATTTAATTTTAAAACATGGCATGTAATAAAAAAATGACGACAATCTGAATTTTATAATATAGTTAATGTGATTTTGATATACCTTATCCATAAAAAATCTCAGTATTCTCAGTTATAAAACTGCCGTTTGCTAACGATAGAATGATTTAATAACTTCGTATTAAATATGCCATTTAAATCAAATCATTTGAAAGTCGCAAATATATTGGAATGTTTTTTATTAATCAATGATAAACAAAGCGTATTTTTTATAATCTGAATACAAAACTATTTATTCTCAACTAACTTCAACTTAAAGTTAATTTGAACCACGTACATAAATAATATTAAAAGATAATTTTTAATTCAATTATATTTGTGCACTAGGTTTTCTTTAAGAGATATTTTAAGATAAATATTAATCGTCTAAATGAATTTTATTATTTTATAATTTATATGAATAATAAATGCTGATCCCAAGTAATTGGGATTAAGGTGAGGAAAGAGAAGATATGGATAATAATCCAAAAATTTATTTAAAAATACATCTTAGACATTTATAGCAGATTCACTATTTGCCTGATTACAAAAAAAAAAAAAAATTGCCTACATTAAAATACAATTAGAAAAGAAAATGACGTTACTCTTCTTATGTATTTTTATTTATATTGTAAACAAATAACATTTAATTGGGTGTTGATTGAAGGTTAATAGAAGTACTATACATCAAGCGAACTTAATTAAAAAAGACAATAAGTAATATTAAAACTCATTCATTTCACAAAACATTTTTTTGACCCAACTAATTCAAGACAATATAAGTTCAGTGTCATATTGTATTTATTATTAGTAAATAAAACTATCAACAATTATTAATAAAAGATAATCTAATAAATATTAAATATAAACGTTTTATTTTGATGTATATGTTAAAACAATTTTTAAAAGTAAAGAAGAAGTTCAAAAAGTTATTATGATTTTTTTAAATATAAAAATTACATCATTAAAATATGTCATTTTATACTCACCTAAATATTTAAGTTAAGAAATAATCTATGTAAGTATGTTTATATTCTATCAATGGTTTACAAACGTGGCAAAACATTTTCATTTTAAATCACTTATGTAATTATTATGACGTAAAAAATGAATTCACATAAAATACAAACAGTTCTATTAATTTTCACTTTTAGCTAAATTTCCATATTTTAATTCTATTTATTTTCTACATTTTAAAAGTAAGAATTGTTAAAGTAGTTTTTCGTGATCTTATCTCTCTTTAAACTTTAGTATATACTTAAAAATACTTTAAAAATTAGAAATTTTAGGGGTGTCCATGGCATTACTAGTTATGCCATCTAAAACATAATTTAAAAATAATAATGATCAGAAACCAATAACACTTAATACAAACCAGCGAATGCGACATAATCCTAGAGAGAAAAATAATATTAAAACAACATTGTAATAACGATACAATTTTGTTGTGAAATATTATTATAAGATTAATTTTATAATAATACTTCACAATATTTCAAGTACATATGTACTTGATGTTTAGTCAGTGTTGCTATTCGTGAACGAGTTCAGTCGTGTGTCAGTCACTCATGTTTTGACGGTTAATACTTTGCTAATTAGAACTTACTTAATTAATGTCACGAGATTAATATGAATTTAATACCGAAAGGTATTTAAACAGTTTCCTGGCGTCAAATTTAAAGTTTTTTCATTGCTAATGTGTTCTATACAAAATAGTTGGCTTATATTATTTCGCGCATAACAAAAGTTGTGTGCGAAAACAGTTATTTTTTAACACGAGTGATTTTAATAAAATTGAACCAATATTTTATACAGGATTTTTTAAACTAAATAACTTCATAAAAAAAAGAAATTCTCATTCTATTAAGAAAAAATTGGCTTTTAGTCACCCAAACATTAAATGTGCTTTATATTGTATAATTGTATGTTTAAAAATAAATGATTATTAAATTGTAATTTTCAACCTTAAATCCATGAAAAATCACTCACTTACATAAATATTTTATGACAAATGATCATAATTACATTAACAAATAGTATATAAGGTTAAATAAAAATCTGTAAATAATTTTGATTTTTTTTTTCTTTGTCTTCAAGATTTTACGTTAAAAATACTCAAAATATCTGACATATATAGAAAAGGTAAATGATTAAATGATTTTAGATTCACTTGAGTCTATAAAAAAAACAGATTATCTAAAAAGATTTGTACTCATTATCTTAATGCAACTGATGTTGAATTTAAAAATTATAATTGGCATAAAACAAAATATCAGTAGAAATCTACGAAAAATGCAAATATAGAATCAATTTGTTTATTAATAAAGTTCTTTTTAATTTTTGTAATTGAAAGGGTACGTACAAAAACGAGACAACACCATTTTTTTTAAGATGTCGTAGTACGTGATTTGATTATTGTTTTTTATTTGAGATGTAAGCTAAAATTGTTGGAGCTATCTTGATTTTTGACTCGAACTTTGTATTTATTATTTCAATTTTTTTTTTAACAAAAAATTGTTAACATTATTTATTCTTACATTAAGACTACTGGTTTTATGTATTTAAATATAATTTTATACGTCATTTTGTAGACAAAACAAAATTAACAACTCAATATTAGATATGATAAGAGCATGATATTAATAAATAGGTAATGTACATTAATATAGCAAAGTATACTTTTAATATTTTACAATACTCACTTTAAATAGTATAAATAATTTGCTCACTTTATAACTTGAAGGTAAGTGGTATTAATTTATATTTACTACTTATAAGTAATAATTACTACAAATATTTAGTAAACTTTAATATAATAATAATTTTTATTTTAATATAATAAATTTATTTACAAACAAATAAAATAACAAGAATTCATTAATTATTGTATACTGTAATAAGATATTGATAATTAATGTATAATCATTCAGGTGGAGGGAAAAATTAAATAATTTGATATTGTAGTAATAAGCAAAATGAAATAAATTGTATCTTGAAAAACTTAAATAATAATAACATAGTTGTATAACATTAGTCCATTAATATTAAAATTAATAACAAAAATTTAGATATAAAAACAAATAAACCTAACACAGTGATGTTGAGGCACAGTGGGGATGTGGCATAGCTGGGTCAAGTATAAAAATATCTGACAGTGATTAAAATCACTATCACAAAAAACGCTTCGATGCAAATCTGTAGATAGTGTTTAATTAAAAAAAATTGGTGGATTATTCCAAAAGCTACATGATCTCCTATTTCCTTATTTATATCCAGATAACAAGTTTTATGATTTATAAGTGTAATATATGAATATACATACATATATATATATATATATATTTTTTTTTTTATAATATATAAATATATAAAGGAAAATCGTGTTAATTTAAAAAAAAGTATGTCGAATGAAAAATGTATATAAATACTACCTGTCATGAAAAAATTGTATTGATTCATACATTTTTCAAAAAGTTATGGCATAATACATATAAAATTGAGAATTTTCACACAAAAATAGAATTTGGTAGCAATTTTCATCCGGTAGACAAAATAAATTCCGAATTTTTTTTTTCGTGATAAAGTATATTACTTTAGCTTTACTTTAAGATATATATAAAAGTGTCAGACTTTCCGGAACACATTCAAAAATTAAGTTAAAAAAGTTAATCTTTAGTGAAAAAGTTGTCATTTTAAATCTTCCTCTTTGGGCAGGTAAAGAGTCAGGTTAATCAAAAAAATATACCATATGATAGGTAAAGACATCATTCGTTTCATTATATAGGTTATCTATTGTGTCATCCAATAAACAAATCTGTTATTTCCAGTGTCTGGTAGTTATGTCAAACGATCTTGGACTATAAGTTCGACTTTTCCCAGTATGATAGCATCAAGGAAACTTAAATTTCTTAACTACTTTACATCAGTGGCGGACTGTCTATGGGGGTAAGGGGCATCTGCTCCTGCACCGCTGTCTATAGAACGATGAGGGCCGCAATGATTAGTGTCATCCGGTTTGTAAAATATATTTTTACCTTTTTTTGTTTACTCATCATTCCATGTTATGGATGAATACAAATATATTTTGAAGCGAGCTGGACTGCCATTATTATTGTGCCAATGGCCACCCAGTCCGGCTCTACTTTGCATATTAAATACATTTCTTCTACATTTTTAACTCCAATTAAAAGTTGTACATTGTAAAATATTAAAAAATAAAATCAACTCGATTGATTCAATTTCTAGAGCTAATAATGAAAATAATTATCAAATAGTGTTTACATAATCTTTTCGATATCATAATAATAAAAATTGTATATTAATTATTTTTAATTATCAGCATGTATTATGGAAACATTTATTAATTACTAAAAAACTAAAAACTCCAGTGATCATACGATAAAAAATGATTTTGAGTAAATTTTCTGCAATTACCAATTGCTCGACGCCTCAAAAATTAAATTCTTTTGTAGAACAATTCTTGAATCATAACGACTGCCTTAATAGGTTCTGCAAAAGTATGATATGCGAAAAAGATGAACTAAATTCCTGAAGCTACGGAAAAACTTTTTTCTAACAGAATTGGCATTCTCCCGGATTATTACACAACTCATACTACTCTCATTTTAGGTTTTATTAGAGCAATCAAATTTAAAACTTGTCTAAAAATAGTATTGAGCAAAGAGAAGTTTAGTTTTTCAAAAATTAACACTGTACTGACCATTGAATGAACCAAAGCTTATCTGTACTTCACAGAAATGTTAGAATTTTGTTTTGTTGAATATTATTTAGAAAATTTATTTAATTATTTATAATTGAGGTTACCTATTTTAATAATCTTAATCATCCATTATATAGTCCTAGCACAAACAAGTTTTTTTTTATTAAGCGTAGCCATAAATAGAATTTTTTGTTTAAATGATCTAATTTAAAAATTTATGAAATTATATCATTATACATTTTAATACTCTATTTTATTTTGTAGTCAACAAGAAATCCTCAAATGAAACTCGTGTCGGACTTAACAATTTCTACCGATTGCCACTAACCAATAACGGCACTATAAGAAATTTCTTTTAAAGTGCCTCCATGAGCGTTCCTAAGTAAAAAAAATGAGGTAACAAAATTATTTTGCCAACTGAATAATATATTTTTAATACCCTAACTTTAATTTTTTTTTCTAACAACCCTACATATCGAAATGTTCCCGATTACAGCAATTAAATATTGACTAATGTGAACTAATGACTAATGTGACAATCAAGGTTGTCCCGATTGTAACTGCAGGCAAATTTAATTATTTTTCATTGAGAAAAAAATTTGAATAAATTTGGTAATTTATTATTAAAATATAACACAAGATTATCTAAGTGCTACAAAAATGAAACTTTGAAATTATATGAGAAGTGAACAAAAGAAACAAAGAATATTTAGAGAGGGGTTGCTCGACTTTATAACTCTTTAACACAAATAGATATTTTAAGTCTTATCAAACTTTTTGAAAAACAATTATATTTAAGTAATTACGTACATCTTACTATTATTATTATAGTTATTATTAAGTTATCTTTAACGTACTTTTTGTAAAGCTGTGCTTGTGTTAATGAACATAGTTAATCTTGCAAACAACAGTCCAACGGGGTCGAACTTCGATATCTATGCATAGTGCGCCCATAACTGAGTTAGAAGGGCACTTAACATGATTTTGAAAATTATGATGTAGGTTTTTATGTACAAAAAAATTAAAGATGTTAAGTTACTTAAGTATTAAAAAAATACTTCCAGCAATATTATATTCAGTCATTTGTTTAAATAATGATTATAAAAAGAGGATTTATTGTAAAAAAAAAGGTTACGTAAATTAGACCTGCCTGGAATTTTATTAATAACATCACTTCCATTATTACTTTCAAAGTACGCTACGACCTTCGTACAGTAATAACTAAGAAAGTTTCTAACGGAAATATTACTTGAAAATATAAAGATTGCTAACGATGTACAAACGTATTTTATTGTAACAAATCTTACTGAATTGTAATTCTGATTCCGGTATACACATAAACAACAAAATCACAATGAATTACTTATGCGTGTCGCATTTCATTATATTCAGTAAGAAATATTTCTAAAATTCTTATCATTTATACCGCGAATTTGTACCGGATGTACAGTCTGTTTTTATTTAAATAAAAACGCATTAGATGCATCACTAAAACTTACAATTTAGACGGCAAACAGAGTATGCAAAAATAAAACATGACTGTCTCGCATTACAAATATTGTTTTAAAGGCGAATACTCCTTATTTTTTGTCGTTGACAAAAAATAAATTACTTATATTATTTTTTTTTTTTTGAATAAATATAATTTATAGGTATACATCAAATAAAACAATAAAAGTAAACTACACAGTTTTAAAAGAAAAAATGACTGAATATATAATGTTTAGTTTTTTATGAAAGAAAACCCTCTGAATTTAAAATGTTCAGTATGATCTATGACTGTGATGTGCTTTGTATAAATAATTATTTTTAACTAAAAAAACTCTTATAGAAGTTTTAAACACTTGTATAAATGTTGCATAGTGTACATATGACATAGTTCGTTAAATAAAACGAAATTATTATGGTACTTGTGCTTTTTAGTTACTAATTATTGAATATTTATTCACAGAAAATTAATTTATCGATAACACTAGATTTTTCTAATAATAATAAAAATAATTTTTTTTTTTGCGTTGTATTATTCATTTTTTAGACTTTTAAATAAATACAGTTTAAGTCCTAACTTTTTTATCTCTTAAAATAATACTAACTTTTTTTAAAGGTAACATATATCATATATGTATATATACTTTAATGTTAGAAAATTATGTTAGTCAATAACAATTTTTTTACCAATATTTCGGAAATTATAAAATGTTTAGGTTGGGCAAAAAATGTTTTAATTTTAAAATCGCATTTCATAAATTTTAGTTTACCTTTTTTTTATTATAGTATTTGCAAATATTTTGTATATTTGACATGACTTTTTTTAGTAAATAATTCGGCGAGAATCGTATATTATGCTCAGTAAATTTTTGATAATTATTATCACAAATTCTATTGAATAGAACTTATTATGCAGAATTTTGCAGATATATTTTTCAAACTGAAATAGATTACTAAGTCTTCAAATTTACAAAGACTTCAGTACACAATGATTAATATTTTAATTACGTATAATGTGTTTTTGCATAGAAAATTAACTACCTACATTTTTTGAGGGTCGAACAGTTGTTTTAGTGATACTGATTCCGATGATTCTGTACTATTGGTTAATGATAATTCAATCACTCTGTATAGTAATTAATAATTAACATTACATTTTATACATTTTTTTAAGAAATGAAAATATAAAATTTTTGTACTTTCACGAAGTTCTATTTGAGGATAAAATAAATAAAATAACTCAATTCACTAGAATATTAATCAAAAATCTATTTACTTTAGGAAAAAAATATAATATTCATTTTTTGAAACTAAATTTCTTAAATTTAATTTCCGCCTAATAAAGGTTTTTTTTAAGTAGAATGTTACCACAAATTCTATAAATTAAAATTATGCAGATAATAAAATTTAATTTAAAAAATTTGTTGAAAAAATTAATATAAATTATTATAACACATAAGTGAATGATTTTTTTAACTTATCAAATGAATTTAACTAAATAATAAAAAAATAAATTATAAATTACTTGATCTTTATAATAAGTTAAATTACTAATTATTATTAAAAAAAAGAATACATTTTTAATTAAAATTATTAAGTAATTATTTATAATTTTCATATAAAGAATAATTTTTTTTATTAATTAATTAATTTCTTATATTTACCATCAAAACTAAAAGCAATTTTTTTAAACATTTTATATTATTACTAAAAACACTTAAGCAGTTGAAAATTACCGTTACTTAATTTTAAGTATCATAATATTTGTCACTTACTTGATTAAAACGTTGCGACACCAACACATAAGGTAAATAACAAAAATAAACCAGCACAGGACCTAAAATTAATACCTGTTTATTAATATAGACTGTATGTCATTCAAGATCAGGTTGGAAAAAGAAATATTGGAAGGTATATTAATCATTACAGTTAAAACAATTAAAATTTTAAATGGAAAAATTAGTTATGTCTTTCTTGGATAGACATAAAATCATAATCACTTAAAACGTATAATTTTCCTGTTTGACTTCTTCGGGCGTTTTTGTATTTTTACGTCCAAGTTTTTACATCAAGATTATACAACACATAAAGATTTTTTACATTTAAATACTGTAGTTTATGAAACATTAACAATAATCAAGATTATCTTGGGCAGTAAATGTTCCAAATAAAAAAATCCACCAGCGAAAAATAAGTAAGGAACATATATTACAAACGAAACATTTGCTTTATGTCAAATGCCAAAATCAAAATAAACTATAAGCGCCATTATCCGCCACGTTGAAGTGAACCCAAAATTCAAGAAAAATAAAACTGAAGGATTCTGTACAAAAACAATAAAACTCCATTTTTTTAAATTAAACAGAATGCTATAAAAACAAAACATTTGGAAAATGTATCCTTACCTACCAGTAGATTTAAAGAAAACTAATTTTTTCAATTATTCATTGTTATTATTTTTTTCTTAGAGTCTAAGACTTAGACAGATGTATTTGTCGTTTAAATCTTAATTTAGAACCGTCAAAATGTTATTTTAATATGAGATAAATGGAGTTATCTTGTATTTGCACAGTATAACGGTAACCCTTATTGTCTCTTATATAAAAAAACCCAAATCTTTTATTTTGATTATTTATAAACACAAATTTAATTTAAACATTATAAAAAAAATATTATTTTATAAACAAGTTGACAAGGTCCCACGTCGCTTCGTGATACACGGATACCCGCGCCACATTTGTCAACGGTCGCCTTACTACAAGTATATGGTAGTTTGACTGACCAACACCGCGTGCCATACGCCAAGGTACAAAGTCAGACAAGTGTCTTACGGCCGCCGCAAATATACTAATAAATATAATAATATGAAGTAGTCTTCTTCACGTCGTTTAAGTGACGTCGTCGAGGACGTTGGCCACCGCTCCGGACGTGTCGCATAACGGAACACGACGAACCAGCACACCGTCGTCATGAACGCTGTCAACTTTTGACGTCCGATAATCATGACGGGCACCGCGTCGCCGACACCAGTGAAAGTGCCACGATATTGTGCGAATATTATTACTAATTGCGTTCGTTTTTGCAGTTTCTTTTTAAAAATAATCTGTTGTTGTTTATCAATAATAAACGACCCACAGGTATCTACCATCCTAACCAGTGTCAACTACATTATTGCGGCGTAAGTAGTATCAACGTTAATAAAAATATAATAATAAATCAATAGTAATGCGAGGCTTAGTGAAGCGTTTGGTTGCCGCACTGTTAATGGTACTGGCTTACTTAAGCAAAGCGTCCGGTATCGATAATAGCAGTGGTGGTCCGCTAATGTGGCTTAGTTACCGCAGGTGGTCAAGATTTCACCTATTCACTCGTCTATTTAAAAGTCATAAGTCCACTGAATGAGACTTACGATAAAGACTTATCGTACCATCGAATCTTCCGCCGTACATGTACTTGGATTCCTAATTGCGCGCGTACACCGACAATCGCTCCTTTTAATAATTCCCTTTTTATGCATTTACATTCCTAATATACACATCTCATGCCATTTGCTCTCATACTATTTTCACCACTGCTACCCACTAGATGTTACTCTATCCCGTCTGTCATAATTATATCCACACCATTCATCAATCCGACACGCTTCTCAAAACTAGTGGCGCAAGCACAAACAACAAGCAACAACAAAGCTTTTTAATTAATACTTTCTTAGCTTTTCATCGAACCTAAAAGATTTAAAATAAAATTTTTTATCAAACATTACTTATAACTGTACCACTAAAATAATAGGAAAAAATTGTTTTTCTTTTGTGAGATAAATAATTTTTTTTTTTAATATAAAAATGATATAAATTTTTCAGTAATTATATTTAAAGTAAAAATATTTTTTACAAATTATAAAAAATAGA